TGTATTATCTTCACCTGTTCTACGCATTTACATTACCATATACCGTATTATCTTCACCTGTTCTACACATTTACATTACTATGTATTGTATTATTTTCACCTGTTCTACACAATTACATTACTATGTATTGTATTATCTTCACTTGTTCTACACATTTACATTACCATATACCGTATTATCTTCACCTGTTCTACACATTTACATTACTATGTATTGTATTATCTTCACTTGTTCTACACATTTACATTACCATATACCGTATTATCTTCACCTGTTCTACACATTTACATTACTATGTATTGTATTATCTTCACTTGTTCTACACATTTACATTACCATATACCGTATTATCTTCACCTGTTCTACACATTTACATTACAATGTATTGTATTATTTTCACCTGTTCTACACATTTACATTACTATGTATTGTATTATCTTCACCTGTTCTACACATTTACATTACTATGTATTGTATTATTTTCACCTGTTCTACACATTGACATATACTATGTATTGTATTATTTTCACCTGTTCTACACATTTACATTACTATGTATTGTATTATCTTCACCTGTTCTACACATTTACATTACCATGTACCGTATTATCTTCACCTGTTATACACATTTACATTACTATGTATTGTATTATCTTCACCTGTTCTACACATTTACATTACTATATATTGTATTATTTTCACCTGTTCTACACATTTACATTACTATGTATTGTATTATCTTCCACTTGTAGTGAATATTTAAATTACCATATATTTTCATGTACTGTATTACTTCAACCTGAACTGCATATTTACATTACTCTATATGTTATTATCTTGAATGTGTATTATATTTTTATAATACCGTATTCTGCCTTATCTTCAACCTATACTACACATTTACATTACTATATACTATCTTATCTTCAACATGTAATACGTTTTTACATTATCATATACTATTTTATCTTGAACCTGTACTACAAATTTGCGTTACAGTATTTTTTATTATCTTCAACCATTACTGCATAACCACATTACCATATATTGTATTATTCTTTATCTGTACAGCATATTTATATTACCACATACTGTATCTCCAACCTGTACTACAAATGTGAATTACCACATACTGTATCTCCAACCTGTACTACAAATGTGAATTACCACATACTGTATATGCTATCTGCAACCTGTAAAACATTTTAAAATTGCCATATACTGTATTATCTTTAATGTTTACTGCGTTTTTAGATTACTGTATACTGAAGTATCTTTAACCTTTATTATATATTTACATCACTATATGCCGTATTATCTTCGACTTGTATTACATATTTAAATTATTATATGCTGTATTATCTTCAATTTATACTACACATTTGCTTTACTACAATATGTGGTAAATGTACTATCTATAAGCTGTACATTAACTCCATACTGTATTATCTTAAACCTGAACCTCATGTTTAGAGTATTATATACCGTATTATTTTGAACCTGTACTCCATTTTTACATTACCATATTCTATATTATCTTCAACCTGTACAAAATTTTAATATTATTATATACGTTGCTGCTCTTTACCTTATACTATGAAAGTCAATAAATCACACAAACATATATATGTTCAACATCTCTATTTAGTTTTACTAGATATCACATTGAGTCTCTCACACCTCATTGAAATTTGTTCATTGTAATCGTCAGCTTAGTTTACAGAGAAAGCTCAAATAGTAATGTTATTAGTGTAGATTGTCATATATATGAAATATTTTTCTCATTTTTCACAATATACTGTTGTTAGTATTATTTCCAATACTAGCCTGACTATACCATAAGTCTCTCTAGTGGAAACATATAATAACATCAATAGTATTTATTAAATTAACATCATCATATATCTAAACAACTTTAATGTTTTAGTTTTATCATTATCGTTACTCATGAGCAAAAAACAACAGTTGATGTTATTTTAATTTTGTGCCATTTCTATTACGTCACTTGCATATTGTACTTCCATTTATGTAGTTTCTAACTATATATTAAAGTACATAAAGTTTTGAATATACAAACTTTAAATATGTCAATAACTAATCATTAAAACCTTCACACTTCATAGTACTTACGGTATATCCGTTTAGCACGTTAATTGTTACATTATGTCACACACACAATGAAATATTTATCTTAAGCCCTTTTCATCACAGAGTAGTGTCCCCTTGTGGGTCAGCGGTACGTTTACGGACTTACAATGCAGAAATCCAACGCTCGATTTCCCGCGGTAGATAGGGTTCAGATAGCCCATTGTGCAGCCTTACGCTGAAACAAAACCGAAACAAACAAGCGTAGGGTTTTACCATTGTGTAGAATAAGAACAAACAAAATAAATATCCTCTTTTAACTTCTATTAGTCACAGAGGTTTTGAAAATTCAACCATGCTATTTATCAATATTGCTTTATACGTTTCCTTTGAAATCAAAGTTCCAAACTACATATATATTTTTTAACATTTTAAAGATAAAATATGTTATTTGTCATTATGTAACTAAACTGTAATCTTATGGGTGTATGTCATGCTTACTGATCCTTTTATTAGAGCTTTCCAAACATATAAATCAAATACTTCAGTCATTTGCTCTTGCGGATGTGACAGGTAATTGACGGAGACTTATAAGGACAAACACGTGATTATATTATGATTAATCTGCATGAAAATAATGAGAATAAGGATATCTCCGACCTTCAAAGGTACAAGTAGTAGGTCCTTGTCTTAGTAGGAGCGTTATTGTCATGATCAATTTCATAGACCGTATGATTCAAAGTCATATTTTTCAGGCTATGTCAGGAAAAACGTCTGTCGCGATGATAAATTATGGTCTCCAACCGCTGGTGGCAGACTGGGGAAATGTATTATTGTACAGGGTTGTAAAGTGTCACAATTGACTACTTTTTTCAAAGTGCCGATATCGAAACATACCACGAAAAGGCTAGCATATATGTAGCCGACCAAAAGTCCGAAAATTGCTTACCTTAGTTTTTAAGAAGAAAGTTCATGGTTTTTTGTTTCTTTTAGAATAGCAAGTTACCTCCAGTGCCTGCTTGAACGTTCTAACCGTTCAGGTCATCACCACGAAATACATTTTTTTTTCCATCTTAATGGATCGTGTTTTTTTTCAAAATGACAATACAACAATCCAACGCATTTATAATTGTTTAAAATTAGTTCGCAAAACATGACAGTGACTTCGGGCATTTTTCTTGGTCAACACAGTCACTGCATATTAGTCGACTTAACATTTTTGAGATAATCTTGAATGCCACAGTAATCCTCCGCCGACAAATGTGAACCGATGGCAGTCTGTAATTTCTCGACGAATTATCATACTACGGGCTCGGTCCCAAGGACTGACCTCGTAACCATTTTGTGCTTATTATAGTTTTCATATTACGACTTTTAATATAGTAAGCGTATCTTATCGAAATTTTGCAGATTAACAGCAAACATTACAAGGCTTTCGTACACAAAATATCATATTTTTTATTAAGTTTAAGATTTTCATAGGTAATGATTTCTTCGTGCATTTGTTCTTTTCGATTGTTGACTATCCAACATGCAAAATAATTTTGATTTTAAGATTCAAAAACTTTTATGCTTCAGAAAATAGTCACATTTCACATGCGAAATCTTTAAAACCTCCAGATAGTTATCAAATGTTTTTTTACTTTATATTTTATCTGTCCATGCTTCAGAAAATAATCAAATTTCACACGCGAAATTTTTATAACCTCCAAATAGTAATCAAATGTTGTTTTTTAAACTTTATATTTTATCTGTCCATGATTCAGAAAATAGTAAGATTTCACACGCGAAATCTTTATAACCTCCAGATAGTTATCAAAGATTATTTATATAGAAAAACATAATATTTTATCTGTTATTTTCACTATTGTATCTCTGTATGGATTTAGTTGATTTGACCGACTTCGTAACCACCATAGAAAATTAGGACATAGATATATATTACGGTTTTTTCTTTCTAAAATAACTACAAGTTACATATAAATATAAACCACAAAGACCTAGTTTAAATAGCTTAAATCTCATAATATTATATATCAATATATATATATTTATTATTTTACTGACCTTTCAGCTGTGTCTGACTAACATTACAGAAGTTACAATGAAGCCGCGTGGCGCACGTGCACTGATGTTATCGAATCCAGTAGTATAAAACTGGCCTTTACTAAGTGACCAGTCTTGGTGTTGTTCTAGTGGACTAGTAATTTGTAAAATACAGTCACATTTCGGTTATAATACATTATATATATATATATATACATTTTATTAGTATTTACAAATAAGTTCTGAAATTTCAGTTATTTTTCTTAAATCATAGAACAGTAAATAAATAAATATAGAAAACAATGATCTAACTTCGTACTGGTTTGCTTCTTGCCATAATTTGCTAAGCCTTGTGTGACGGATTTATTATTCTATATTTATTTTAATATCGATGTTTGTTTAAATTAAATTTATATTTAGAAATGTACGTAACGTATACTGTTAACTATGTATTGCGAAACTCCCGCCTATTGTCTAAAGATGTAGAATATTCTCGAATGTAAGAATCACCAATACATGTGTGTACGTAAACGCTAGTGTAGCTTTGCATTTTTACGTAATCTGACTTTTCGAGAAACTTTCCACACGCCTATAAATATAACCAACACGACGCGCCAAAAACAGTATATATTATTGGTATGCTATAGTTGATATGCTATAAACCTCGGAAGCTATAATTGTGATTAACGCCTATTAATCAGATACTTGACCAGGAACATTTATAAATTTCGAACATTATAAACCATTTAACTTCAGTGGATTCACATCGGACATTAGTACTTTTATGAAGACATAAAACTCAAGCTCGACCTGTAATCGGAGTATGATCAACGAGGTCCACAGAGCTAGCTAGCTTCCTATGAAGTAAACTGTACATACTTCAATTTGAAATTAACTCGCTCATTGTGAACCCTCGATAAGACATCAAGAAAGTTCCAGACTAGAAAGAAGACTTTATATTGCTAGTACGTTTGTAAAACTTTTGTATATAAATTACTGTTTCTAATAAATATTTGTAATAACTGTTATTTTAAATTGTACTGTTGTTTATATATTAAAACATATTTGTATAAAACAAAAAATGTACCAATATCTCTGAAACCGAGCTAAATGCTAATTTAAATTTAGTAGTTAAATGAATTCCGATATATCTCCAATTTATGATATTTTCCAACTCATTCGAAATTGTAATACTAACACTTGTCATATTTCCCACGTGGAGGATGTTAAACAAAATAAAAAATATAATTTTGAATGTAAGTCTACAAACTTTGCCCCTGACCATAGGAATACTGGTCGAGGTAGAATGAATGGACCCCACTTTTCTGTATGTGTTCAATCTTTCAACGCTAGGAAATGTGCACAAACCTTTTCGGTATGTGTTCAAACTTTCAAAGCTATGAAATGTTTTCAAAACCTACGTAACACTAAATACATTTCCAGTTCCTCTATTGAGCATCATAATTTTTTTAAGTCAACAAAACATTAAAATGTTCCATTTTATTATTTCAAGACTGTTATTCTGATCAATATTTTGATATCTTGATGTTTTGGTATTGATATTGTGTTAGGAATTGTCACATCAACGATTTTTTATTCATTTATTGTATATTTTTTACACAGCTGAGCCTTACGTTGAACCATTTCCAGAAAAGTTAAACGTTATTCAAGGAAGGCCTCTTCTTTTGGAATGTGATGCTCATGGGTTCCCCAAACCAACTATTTCTTGGTTTATTGGTATGTCTAATTAATCTTACTTTTATTTTATCCTTTATTCAACCGGCTGTTTTCGTTGATTTAAACATATTGATGCAATTTAAGATATGTAGCCCACTTACTCTCTTACAAAGTATTAACATCAAAGTAATTTTCACTTTTATTAGGCCTTCTCAGGCCTTTAAATTATGCATATCTATGTAGTTTTATACATTTTGAACGTTAATTTTTTATTGTGCAAGTCTCAAGGAAGCAAGTTGAGACACAAATTGAACATTATTATACAGAAATACTTGTTTCAAACAGCTAGAAATATAGACCTGTTCATACTGTAACATTAGTAGCTTCGGTCGTAAGCATTATATTTGTGAATACTGAAGCTTCAAGGGCCTGTGGAGGCAAGGTATTCGTAAAAAACCGAAGAGTGTTTTTGGTGTTTTTCTTACAGAATGTATGTTTATTAAAGCGATACAAGTAGAGACACCAAAAATATGCTTTTTTTTTACTCAGAAGCAAATATACTGTACACAATAAATATATAATGACATTCAATTGACAGAAGCTAGGAATGCGTTGTACTTATTAGAATATTCTTGATTTTACTACAGCACACATTAAAATTCTTTCTAATGGAATTATAAATGCATTAATCTTCGTTAATATATCTTTCATGTTGTTAAACACTTTGCTAGACCAAGCTTGATTATATATTAGATATTAGAAATCCAAAGGTTAAAATGTTAATGCACTTCCAATGTCGTCTTTATGTGACTTAATAAGAACCTATTTCCAGAGCTCATCAATATTTCATCGGTTTATTGAATGTCTGAAATTATAACGTAGCAAAAAAACAAAAAAAAAAAACAAGCTGTGGTTTATGTGTATATATTGTTTTTCTCCTGAATACTATATTTCTAAGCTCATTTAATGAAATAGCTAATCTCTGTAGATGCGAATCATTTACAGGATACTCTGGTCCGTTTTCATTTTCTAACTTAGTTAGTTCACTTAATTCATTGAAACTTTTGTATACTTTCACGTATTTTAAAACGTACATATTTTCATTCTTATGAACAGGAAACGAACCGTTAGAAACATTTCTTCATCAGAATAACTTGACAATTTCTACGCTTTCTAATAGCGAGGGACTGTTGGATGCCATGTTATCTATTCAAGAACCGATCTCCAACCTTTACACCTGTGTCGCTGAAAATTCTCTTGGAACAAGAGAATCCTCTGTCTTCATCGCAGTGAGAGGTATGTTATTATTCTTCAACGCAGGAGGGAAATAACGGATTAACTCGTGTTTCCCGTATCTGTGAGTGCTCAATGTACTATTGAACAAATTTTGATCAAACTTGGTTTACTAGCTGGGTCAAAACTCTGCATATTATTTAGATTCAGGAATAATTACAGAACTAAAGTACTACATCTATGATATTCCAGTCAGATGCTCTTTATTTAGTACAACTTAATGTAAACGAACCTGACGAAGTAAATCTGCCGAAACGTCCCATTTGATAAAATGTTTTAATTGTTTAGTTTACTACTCCTATTAGAACTACATCCTTAAAAGTAACTAGACAACCCATGACTCGTTAGGTCACCCACTATTCAGAGGTTATGAAAATTTCAAGCTAATTTCAATCTTGCACCGAAATGAAGGTTTATTTTGAGATAATTTAATTAAATATTTCAGTCCATTCGTGTTATTCATAATTCATGAAAATATATTTGACTGTTGATCGGGAGTAAAAGTAAAGACCATTTCA